CAGTCAGGAAGTTGGTAAATTATGTCTTCATGCCATCCATATTGAGTGTCCATTACTCCTGGACATAGCACATTAACTGACTCATTAGCTATTTCAAACCATATGGACTTAGGTTTGGGTGGGTTGCTCTGATAATATCCTGAGGTGAGCTTCCTAATTATTGTAATTATGTGATCTCAATCATGGGGCCAGTCACACAAAATAGAGTCAAGAGTCTTTAAAATGGGTGTCAATGCACCTAGACAATGACTGAGTTGAGCAACATGCCCCCTGGATGTTGGAGATCCCTTGATACTGCAAAAAGTAATTACTTTAAAAGTTCTAAGAAAATGGCAGTGAGCACAGTGACAACTGAATAAGCATGGCAAGTGCATGGGACTCTGCACAGATGCATGAACACAAATAGATTTCTCAGCAGAAACTCAGAAGCAGTCTGAAACTTGATACCTTGTTGTCGATGGTCTTGATGCAGAGATGTTACATCTCCAGTGTAAATTTAGCCATGATATTTTAAGCAACAAGGAGATCTAGAGTGGAGGGGGAGGAAGTAAATGTGGAAGTGCTAAAACGTCAGGGTTAAATACCACAAAAGCATCACAATGCAACAGCAAGAGAAGCTACAACTTGCTCACCTACTGTAGCAATTTTAAGATGCTTTGTGTATGTGATACTGCAAGATTTTCATATAACTGACTGAAATCTTCTATACTCAAGCTTAGGTTTGAGCAAGGACAATAAAAAAAGGATTGAAATAAATGGAAAGTGGACTGAATGTTTAACATATCGTGCTTTAAAACAAAGACAGAAATAAATACAGCCTCAGAAGAGAGATAAAAATAGTTTGCTATATTATTAAGTACTTAGTGAAAGCACTCATACCTTAAGTATCTCACCACACTTTTTAAATGCAACCCATGATAACATAGCATAGCTTTTGTCACCCTCTAGAACTTATCCTGGAAAGAATATTAGGAGCAGGATGCTACTTCTGAGCCACAGACCAGGACAAAACTTTCAGAGTTTGTACCTTACAGGCTTACTTCCAGCTTTTAAAGTGCCTCTTGGGCACCTACAAATTCAAAAGGTCAGATATTAAGTAGCTGCAGACACCTACATATGCAGCTAGACAGCAAAGCCATACATTCAAAAGTTACTTGGGTATCTAACTTTGACCGACTACGTAAGATTATCTATGCTCATATCTTCAACCCAAAACTCAATCACTGTATTTACCTTGTAGAAGAGCCAGCCTAGGATATTAGCAATAATCACAGAACAACCTAGAAAGTATAGCACCACCATTTTCTTTTTCAGTAACACATCAGTAACCATACCTGTGCCAACTCTACAGAGAAGTTCACGTTTCCCTGTATATTACATATCAGTAAGCACATACCAAACAAAACAAATAAATAAACCCCTGAAAGTACCAGGAGCACTAAAACAAACATCTAAAGAGAGTCTCCTCCATCACTTCTAATATGTAATTCCGAGTAACAAGAAAACGCCCACCTGAGCTGCAAGAGGGATGGATTCTTCATGAGAAGGGCCTGTGGCCCTCAGCTGTTTGCAACAATGTGCCATTAGAAAGTAAAATAACAGCAATTTGGTAGCATTTTCAGTTGCATGCTGACAGGATTTGTAGATTTTTATTCTTATTAGCATACACACCTCTCTCTTATAAGGATTTCTGAATTTGGCAGTAATGCTGACTATATCACCTTGAAGTGAAATCGCTTCCATCATCATTAGGCTTTTCTGAAAAAAACAAACAACAAAACCCCCCCACCCTCGTATCTATAATTATTTCAGCCATTCACCCCCCTTACATCACATCCCCAAGCTGCTAATTTGAAGCAACTGTGAAAAGGCAATGGAGGTTTTAACCTGACTAAATGAAGCTCATGTTTCTTGGGAGGGTTGCTAATTGGTTGATGATAAGGAAGGAAAAAAAAAAAAAGCCCTGTCTCCAATTCATCCCAACAGGAAAAGAGGTTTTCTTAGTCCTACCCTCAGAATGTAGGGATGTGTTATTTATAGGGTAAAGGGGGTTAGTATCAGGTTCTAATCTGATTAGAGTTTTTCTCAGGTAAAGTCTTTGATCTTTGTTGATTTTTAACAACATTTATGTATTAATTTTATGTTTTGCCTTGTCTAGAACAGAATAGTATGAAAAAGTTGCTAGTCATGTTTGCATTTTTTTTTTTTTGTGAGCCTACTAGTTATGGTTGTTTTTTAATAAACAAGCTTATTCTTCAGGAGTAGCCTGGTATGTGCAGGAAACCTTTCTTTTTAGTAATTTGTTTTTTTCTGAGTGATATTCTTAGTCTTTATTACATTCCTGTGTGTTTGCCTTTGAAGGTTTTCAAACTCTTGTAAGAAATTATAAAAGCTTCAGAATCTTTAACCTTACATTTACCCCCTCTCCTAAAAAAAACAAACAAAACCCAAACTCCTAACTAAGCCCACAACTATTTTCTGTGGCTTGTAGGGTATATATCACTTATTGTAAAAAGGTTTAAGATAATGTTAAACTGCATAAGTTATGAAAGAGCTGCATGATGTTAAAGATGGCTAAAACTTCAGATACTCTTGCATTTGAATGGAGTTGAAGCTGTGAACTGGCAACTTCTTTTCTTTCAGCTTATAATGACTCTTTAAAATAGCCTTTTCTGATTACTTCATTACTCCTCAGAACTGCATGAACTTGTTTGCTTTTTGTGATCTTATTCTTGCTCATGAATAAAAAGCACTAAATAAGCTCAAAACAACTTATGTTTCTGAGCTGTAAAGTTTTGCATTGAACCCCAACCTTTCATTAAATCACTGTATTTCACTAACTTCCTGATGTTAAAGTATTCTCTATGGTCTCATGGGAACAAAAGGAAAATCAACTCCAGTTATTAATTCATAATTAATATCTTTTTTCTCCACATAATTTCTACACATTTCGTGTGTTTTAATTGGTTATGGGGTTTTCTCCTGTTTCTACTAGAGAAAAAGCCTTAAGCTGTATAAAAATGTAGGTGCCTACCAGCAAGCTAATGCAATCACTGGTATCTGCTAAATATCTAGAAGACAGATACAAACATCAACTGATTTGTTTTACTTTCTTATACTGATATTTTACTTTCGTGGACTGGGAAAGATAGCTTAGAAGCAGCAAGCCCTCTAATACATGCTTTTGTTTGTTTAATAATGTGAATACATTGTTGCAACAGTTCAGAAGAAAAAGCTTTTTCCTTAAACAGGGGCTGGTTCTGTGATTCCCAGGCAACTATTTGAAGACTATTTCTTCTGAAAAAGACCCATCATCCATGGCAGAACAGTGGCTCTCATCCCAAATGACAGATATCCTGTGAGCATTGCCCAAATAGTCTCAGTGAATAAAGGTGCTAGCTTTCTCCAGTGAGTGGTAATGGTTTCTTTGATGCCGCACTAGGCATCTGTGGCTTGGTTTGTTTAGGTTTTTTTAAAAAAACAAAACAACCAACCCCAACACCACCCTCCTACAGCTTGTTTTGAAGCTGTTGCAAAGGGGAGGAACCCTGTGAAATGCTTTATGGCAATCTTGAGTTTGTTTGCTTCATGGCTGAGCTTTCTACTGGCAATTCTTTAGCTAGTCCTTTCAGTAACGGTAAAACAACAAAGTCTGCAAGACTGATGAAGCAGAAAGCGTTATGTTAAGGCCTACTTCACTGATGGCAATATATACTTTGCAGTCATAATCTATGTTCCTACTTTTAAGTTCACTTGCAAATTGTGGTTGCTGAAGATGTTCTAGATTTGATTATTCTTGAACTTTCCTTTTCTTGGAAGATGGGGTGGTCCCCAGTGAGCTCTACCTAGGTATAATGTGTTGGGTGGGTGGACTCTATTAATAAAGCAAAGCTTACACAAGATGGTGGCTTGTGATCAGAGCTATGCCCTGTGATCTCGGGGAACAAAAAAAAAAAAATCAAACCCAAACAACCTCCATTGTGTCCTTTATTGCCAATTCACTAGTTTATGTTGGTGATGGGGCTGACCTACCCCTGAGTCAGCTGCATTTGTCCCCTGTACCTGCCTGGAGCAATGGCTGACTGGACTGTGAGGTGGCTGTCGCCTCTGCCCACTGCACTGTGGGGTTGCTCATGGCTCCCAGTGCTCCAAGCAGTGCAAGTCTCTGCATGGTCTCAACTGGAGTGAACACAGGTGTTCCATGTTGGCTTTGGGTAAGTATCTATGTTTCTGTGTGTGGAAGCAATCCTGGAATACAACAGGGAGTCAGTGGTGGACCTAGGATGGAAAGATCCTGAGGTAAAAAATGAAGTGGCCTGGCTGAGGGGTGGCACCCTGATAGTTCTGACTTTGCTACAGCTCCTGAAGTACCTGCTTTGCACACGGAAACCCCTTTTACCTCAGGCAGGGAGCAGTCTATAGTTCTATATAGTCAACTAGTTCTATACGCACGAAACCGTTTTAAGAAAAAAAAAAAAATTTAATCCCTTACTTGTGCCTATTAAAAAGAGGGAGAGCCGAAGCGACTGGGGCTCAGGCACGCCGCCTAACTTCTCCGTTTCTCCCC